ATCCAAGTTTCAGAAATAGCAATTATATTAAAAGAATGTGTAAGACTACTAAGATAATGTTTTATACTCTGAAAATTTGTGTATAAACTTCTGCTATTAAAGTGAATTAATGATAAAAGAGTTTACAGCAACACAGCTGCTTAGGATTATTTGTTGTGTCGTCAGCCTGAAACCCAGACATCTCTATTATTCTGAAGATGATCATCAGTGTGTATGTGTGGCTTGTAGTATATTTATCGCAATGCTGGTCAAATACATGTCCTAACTGCAAAACGTGAACATTTGGGACATTTTTCATACAAATAGATGTGGTAATTGTCTATAAATATGGGTGAAATCTTTCATTACAGAACCTTATATATCAATATGTCAAAAAATGACTATAATCGATAATCTACAGTAAGTGATGAAGATGACAAAGTGTTTGCTAACACTGGCAGCTGAATAATAAAATGGAATAGTAGCAGAATGATGGCCACTGATAAAGGTGGTCATTTAATTTTGGCCCTGACAAAAAGCTAACATGGAACATCAGCCAGATTTGGAAGATCACAATGAGATTCTATCTGAACACACACTCAGACATAAACAGCCTTAACGGAACAAGCCGAAGTAATGTAGTCTTATAATTTAGTAAACTTACTGTACACAACTTAAGTGTAAATGAGATGACGTGATAGGTTTATGGGAAATATACTTCCTCTGAAATTGAACAACTAAAAAAAGATCTTGTCTGCCTCACACAGAGACAGAGAGTCAAAGAATTGTGTGTTTTTATTAATCAAAATAATGCAGTTTAAAATCAGTCTGCAATCTAAAGATATATACTGCAAAAATCCACTGAAGGATATGGTGATAAGTGACCGACCTGCACAATCACACACATGCTGTCTCTCTCGCACACGGACACACACATATGCACATAGAGTATCAAATGAAAGCTAACATCCAAAGTGCATTATAACATTAGCCCTGTATATCATAACAGATAAACAAAATACATCATATACATTTACTTGATACCCAACAATGTCATGTAAATAAAAGGTTCTCTTTTGGTTTATATGAAACAGCCGACCCAAACAGGTTTTACTGCCTTACTACTGAAGAAGTCCATGGCAGCAGTCCTATCCAAAGTGCTTCTGAGAGAGATGGAGGCGAGTAGTCATGTCATGATAGCTCTATATAAATAACAGTTCATAGTGGCAGGCCATGTCCACATCTGCAAAACGTGGCGACGACAGCATTCTTCAAATATGATAAAAACTCATTTACCTTTTTTGGACATTTTGACACAGTAACAGAAAAAAAAGTCAAACCCAGCATCTGTATGTATTTGGTGCACCTGAAAGTCAGGACAAGCTTCGGCTACAGGTCTGCTACGCTTACTTTAACCGAGCGACTGTTTATGTAGTATTGACGGTCTACAGGGTATGACGTAAAGGTGCTCTGATTCTTGGTGATCAAGCATTAAATGTAAATTACTGCTCTTAGGAAATTCTTACTTTTGTTATTTTATGAACACAGCTGTCAAAACAGGATTAAAGTAACAAATCAAATCAAAATTTTATGATTCATAATCTTTCTGCAATACTGGAGTGTACTGCAGATAGAAAGCAGAACCTTTAATACTGGAGAGTTTGTGAATAGTCTTCAGTGTGGGAAGTTTATACAATTTAGGAAATTGCATATTTAAATCAAGGTGTATCAATACATGCTGATGCATAAAACTATGTTTTCAGATCTACACTAGGCTCTATTGATCTGGCAGTGGAAGGAACAGACACTAACAAACTGTGTTAGTTGGTCATGTCTAGGTCGTCCTTTTTTCAATTAGATGGAAAACACATTTTCACAGTTTGGTCTATTTTAAATAAACAAAAAAAACAAAACAAAAATAGGTAGCTCAGAAAAGAAAGTCCAACTTTCCTTTTAGTTCTGTGTGGCTGTATTTACTTTCTATACCTTTCGAACCTTCTGGAAGTCAAACACAATGTGAAATTCAATTTTGGGGGCATTATCTGACTGCAAATGATGCAAAAATAGGAATCACCATGAAGGTCCAAACACTTTCCATCTTTCAAACAGGCCAATCTAAGTCAAATTCCTCAACAAATAATAGAAGTCATTATAACCATGTCCAATGTTATAATGTCCGTGTCATACTGACTGCTCTCAGCCTCAGTTCATCAGTGACAGAGACTAAGCTCTTTTCGGACCATGCACTTCTTGCACTGGACCACACAACACCAGTGGAAACGACACAAACAGTTCTCCTCAAACACCACTGTTTCCTCCCGGTAGCCACGCTCACAGCACAGCAGATCACAGCCGCTGATGTCCATGGCCGTGCTGTTGCACATGCGGCCCCGTGTGCCTAGTGAACCTGTTTTCCGATTTGCGAGGCAGAAATCAGGCGACTCGTCTGAGTAGATCAGATCCTGCTTATCTGGCGGCTTTATGTTCTGGCCAACAGGGATCAGGGTCTTGCCATCATTGCTGCCCATCACCTTAGAAGCACCATTGAAACGCTCCAGCAGGCGGTCGCCCACCTCACGAAAATGAGGCATCTTCTTCCAGCATGTGCGCAAGGTGCACGAGCCCGACAGTCCGTGGCATTTGCACTCTGTCCGCATGTAGAGTTTCACAGCCTGGGAGGGGAGAGTGTGGAGGGGAGCGCGGGTTTAGAGTTTTGGGTGGTGGGGGAGAACAGAGGGGTGAAGGAGGGCAAGCAGGTGAAAAAGAAACAGAGGAAGAAAGATGGTTGATCAAACAGAAAAAGGGGAAAAAGAAATGTTTAAACTTCTACTCTGAAGAGAGGCACAATTGCTTTTGACAAATGACAAGCTCTTTAAAAATGTTATTTATTATTGTGTTCACATAGACAAAGGCATCGGATCATGCACACAGACACACGCACATACATGCACACACACAAACACACTGATGGGTAAGATAAAAGCAGATGCTATTGAGAAGGAATTTGCCTCCCCAACCCCCCTCTCTCCCATGTTGCCTCTGGCCTTCCTACATCTAACAAGCCTTGACAACAGATCATTCACTTATACTGCACATAATTAACCCATCACATACCCACACACATAGACATACACACACACCTGCCCATTCAGACACACATCCGTGCAAAATGAGTATGCAAATACACATGAATTTGTGCACATAACAGACATTTGCACACATGCATTTGTGTGCCGGGATATTGAGAAAGCTACAACTGGGCGATATCCCAAAACCCCTTCTGCTCTCCTCCTCTCTACCTGCCTTTGACCCCAACTAAAACAAACCCTGTAACATTGTTTTTGCCTGTGCATGTGCAACATTTCTGCATGTGGATGCAACAAACTGAAACCACAAACCTCATAGCTAAATGTAAATGTGATCTTGGAGATTTTCCAAGCTACAATATAAATTAAAATAATTGAAAAGCTGCTACTTTATCTCCATTCTTTCGGTAGCATGTTGGTGTGGTCATAATTCACTCGGTGCTCATACCAACAACAAAGAGGAACTTTAAAGGCGAACAAGGGCTGTGGAAATATTAGAAGTTACCTGCCTCGGAGGCTCGAATTCAAAATGTGTGGCACACTCTTGTTTTCATGTTTTAGAAACCTGACTCTTGTCAGAAGATCAGCTTACAGCGCTACAAAAACATGGCTGGGAGTGATGTCTTTCTCTTTTGCATGTTCATGGAAAACATCTACCTTTGTTGCTAATATTTTAGAGTCTAGAGAAACATCAGACCTGTGTTAGGCACAGTGGCTATTTTTATGAAGGGTTGGGGTCAATTTCTTCTCAACTTAGCTCACACTAAATGTAAAGAGAAAGTGCACAGCCGTTCTCTGGCGTTCGTTCTGATATCACTTCTTACCAGCCGCCCAGCCTCATTGTTGTGCAGGTCAATGAGTGTCCTGATATCGCTCTTGCCTCTTCTCCTCTTGGCATCCATAAACTGTTTTGACTTTTCATAACCAAACTCCACATCATCTCCGCAGCCCCCCCACTCCCACTTGACTCCATCCCCAGAGGAGGAGGATGAAGGCGGCCTTGGAGGTGCTCTGTTCCTGGTGGCCTCACAGCCACACTGCAGGAGGTCTCCCATACTGCAGGCCTGGGTCACAGCGTGGGTCACCCCGGCTGCTGTGATGGCATAAACAAACGCTGTCTCCCGAATATCTATAGTCAGCGGACAAACAAAAGAGAAGGTTTAGTTTACTGAACAATCTGCAGTATATTTAAACAAGAATAACAGCAATCTTCAAAACAAAGGATTGGAATTTGCTTTCGCTCATAAAAACTGGAAGCAGGTGGAAACAGCAGGTGTGGCTCTATAGTACCTGTAACAAAATCCAACTGTCAGTGCCTCTACAACCAGAACCAAGCTAGGTTTTTCCAGTCTCTGTGCTAGCTTAGCTAACTACGTACTACTTGCTCCTTTAAGTAGTATTTAAATGACACACAGGTCAAAAGCATTTCATGTTTTCATTATCATAGTGACACTACATTGACATGATAAATCCCTACACATTACACCACATTTAAACATGACTTTTTTAATTGACACATTGATTTCTGTATTTGATCTTCTCTACAATCAATCACAGAATAACAACTAGGAAAAGGGAGCCATCCATTCATCCCGGCATCTGTCCATCCCTCCATTCAGTCTGTCAGTATGCCTCCAGGCTATGTGGAACAGGGTAAAATGGCAGTTTCTCTCTTTCAAGCACACGCATACACACAGTCGTACACTCATACACACCCCACAGCTGCTGGTTTATTTCTGGTGCAGAGCTTAACACTCCTGGCTAAAGGCATGTCCCACCACAACTGCAAATTGATCATCTGCCCTCACCAGTGGCTTCAGCATCATTGTCATCATCGGCTTAACACATCCTTATTCTTACTTTTTGCAGCTATTGTCATTCAGGTCTTCTGTGCTGAAGCAGGACAATGCACTAGTGTAACTATCTCATTCATTTCTTTCATCATTTTCATATAAATGTGTGCACTATTGACAATGGCTTTAATCTTTGTCTGGTTGTTAAAATCTAACTGTGTCTGTGTTTAATTAATGAGATTATATTTGTGGTTGGCATATTCGATATTTTTTCTTATATTCCTAAGATCAAACTGATGCTACTAACAAGTATTGTCTGTATATCCATATGTTATTACTCTGGGCCACAGAACGTAGTTTTTGTCTACAAACCATTACAAACATACAGATGAACAGCTCCATTACAGAAGGAGATGTGTCCCTTCATCAAGGTGGACGCGGGCACTGCTGAGTATTTTTAGTCTATCTTGAATACACTATCATGCTAAATGTGTATTAATGAAAACAGTCTCTAACAAATGGACCATCTACTCCTGTCTGTGTAATGTCTGCTAAAATCTACAATGCCCAGGTGTTTTAAGAAATGTCTATGCTGTTTTTAAAAATTAAGACATACAATGACTTTTTAAAAGACTTAAGCAGGACTGGATGGGCTCAGGGCTGAGAGCCACAGTACTAAATGACATTAATGCTGCTGATTTTTTGTCACTTTGCTAACAATAAGAGTGTGTACGTTTTTCCTTGTAACAAGCTAATAGTGGGAATTGTTGGAAAATTCATGGAGGATAGATGAGAAACCAGCAAATGTGTATAAGTTAGACAGAATGAAAAGAAGAAGAAGAAGAATAGTCATTTAGCCATTGCATGCATGTGTAGAGACTTTTATTCGTGCAAAAGACTTTTATTCCTGAGAGCTGGAAGGTGCTGAGCGTGCAGTCACCATCATCAACACTGCCAACTCCATATCACGTGGTTCACAAAATGGGATTCATTAGGAATGGTAACATACACACACACACACACACAAAGAGAGAATGGGTGGCGTGCAATGGAACCTGCACACCCTAGCATGTCATGATATTAATACCAGCTGTATACCCCAACACCAATGTCTCCAATTCAGGCAAATTTATGTTTCTGTACTGTGTCATTGGGCATATGTATGAAAAGAATTGTTTTATGCAAATTTAAGGCATTTGTGACATTCCTACAAATGGACTGTCTAATGTTTGAGTGAACAGCTCCTGAACATGTAGAGCATGTGTGCGTGTATGTGTGTGTGTGTATGTATGCATGCTGCATGCCCTTGTTACATCTCAGATGGACCACACCTTACTGTTCCTGCGCTTCAGTGGGACAGCACTGAAATTTTCGGGGGCAACAACAATCTGAAATCAAGATGTGTCATCCCCTAAAACATCCCTGTTTCTATTTAGAGGCGTGTGTAGGAAACATCAGCACACAATTCATTATTAGAACAATCTGGTAATAATAACAATTTGTGCAGCCTGGAGCCTGCCCAGATATCCTCAAATGCACATGGAGCAAATATTATGTTGATATACCGTTTCTTAGTAAAAACAAACAAAAAGCAAAATAAAAGAAACAAAAAAATTTAAAATAAAAACGACAGCGCTGAGGGATTAAAAAGAGAAAGAAGAGTATTATTAAGCTTAAAAGAAGCTATCAAAAATCTGATGATTTGAGGCACCGTGTTTCATATTTTCCTCGGAGACATGAATTCCAAACAAATACTCTGCGGGTGTCTGGGCCTGTCGACGTCTGCTTCTAATTCCAAAAGACTATTCTGCAGGAATTAGCACATATTCTTTTAATACTCTTGAGTTCTGGGTAATGACAAAAGGTGGGTCTGGCATGTTATAGCTGAGAAAACAACATCACAGTCCAGATAAGCTGACGTTAAAAAAACATATTTTCTTATAGACTTATTTCTGTGAATCATCTCTTTTGGTGTATTTGGTGACACCTGCAGCTGTTGGTGATCACATCAATTTATTATTCTTTTAATGTGCACAGCTCAGACCATGCACTGTGACGTGGTGAGGGCTAAAATACTTTGTGCAGTATCTAGTTTGCTTAAAAGTCATTTAAGTGGCTGAGGTCATGACCTTCTGATATAATGTCAGGTGTATGAAAATAGTTATGCAGAAATCTAAACATTCTAATACTGACACCCAGAGATGCTTCATCCATCAATTACATATAATATGCTATCTATCTTATCATGTTCAGGCCCATGGAGGGTTGGAGCCCAGCCCAGCTCTCACACTGAGAGAGGTGGGGTGCAGCGCAAGTGGAAGGCTGAAGCATATACTGTAATTTTTTGCATTCACACCTAATGCATCACAAATTAATGCTACCGGTATGTATTTGGGACAAAACCGCAGCACGTCCAAGAAACCCATAAGGCTCAGAGAGTACATGCACGTAGAGAGGGCCCTTTCACTAGAATGCTGGGTCAACTTAGTAACTAAACTGTCTGTTCAGGTCACCCCACACAAAGTGTAGACATGTTTAAGTGTTCAGTGCACAAAACAAATAATGGTGTTTTCAAGTCTTTCCATACTGCAGGGTCTTGTTTATTGTTGGCACATCATGCTGCTGACAGCATCCCCTCTCCACTAGGACCTGTTCAGGTTGACTGTGTTTTAAACAAGCTCTATCCTTAGTTCTGTTTGGATCAGACCTGCCTGTCCTCAAGTCACAAAATGTAATTTATATATGTTAAATTTGGATAGGTTTCAGCTAGTCTTTTGTGGACTGGGTCCAACTGCTCAAAGACGCCTCTATAACACAAGTGGCCCAAAAACAAAGTGATGTGCAGGTGTAGAAACCAACCCACGGGAACACCTTCTCTCAGTGATGCCAAAACATAACAGTCTGACATTTATTATATTGGTTTAGATTCAGTAAGCATGTTGCTCTATGTGTTAAACGTGTGCACGTCACTATTCCTATGTGTCTAACTGTGAAGATTATTAATGAGAAAATTCTTTTACAAATTTTTTGACAAATGGTTTTAATTAACACAGCCCAGAGCAAGAGTTCTTGGTTATTCTACAGCAGTATGGTATTACACACACACACACAGGACTTTTAAAGAAATACCACAACATCCCCTCATGTGATTACCAGTGTCACTGCATGCTCGCTCAGATCGTGCCCACTCCAGGCTCTGTGTCTTATTTAAACACAGCAAAGATTACATAAAACAGTATAATAACTATCATTTAATGACAAAAAAGAAGAAATTCAACCTGCTTTTGGACCTATTTGTTTATGAAAGATTCATGTTTTCAATTCTGATGCAAAAATAAGTTGTCATCCTTTCTTCACACTTCCCACAGTAAACCTGTAAAATGGCGATGTTTCAGTGATGCTGTGAAACCAGCTAACTACTGTACTAATTAACACCTCTATTATACAAAGACACACATTCTGCACCTCACCTTCAGTCTCTCTTTCTCATCTGGTGGCTTGATATATGTCCAAAAGAAAACATTTGCCCCACAGCATGTGACTATGTGTGAGTGTGTTATTCCATACAGCTGGAATATGTGATGTATCCACAATCACACTCCGCATAAAAATAAAAATCTAAGGGTTGAAATAGACATTTACATGCGTGCTGGCTGTAAGGTTCAAAATACAGAATTTCTTCAACCTGTCTTATTGGTCCAGTTATGAAACTACAGTACACCACCTGTTTTTTAGCTGGACAAGCGTACCACTCTTTAACAAATCCCATTTCTTTGTAAGGTTAGCTGACAAACACATACCACACAAGCAAAGTGCAGCAAGGGTTTATGTTTGAATAGTGGGTGAGGACAGCCTGCAGATATTTCTGTAGAATGGGAGACAGAGAAAGATAGTTCAGCCATGTTTGTTGTGCTCCAGGTCCAAACACCCTGTGGCTTTGTTTTCACTGTACAGTTTGCATATAACGCTAACATAATCACACAATGAAATAATCTGTCTCCAGAAATGCAAATTAAAGCTTCATTCCCGCTGATTAGTGAAGAGCACTGACCAGAAGCAACCATAAAAAGTAAAAGGCAAAAAAAGCTTAACTGTATAATAAGATTTCAATGTGAATTTCTAAACAATAACCCATTTCACAAGTGATATTTTACTAATTGGGCAGTTGAGCTTCAACTGGAACCCTCTATAAATCAAACACTGGATGAAACAACATGCAGTATTCGACAGCTAAATTAGACGTTTGTCTGATAGGTGTTTCCTATCCGTTGCAGTAGTTACCTTAATATTACTTTAAGAATGATCTCTGGGAGGAAAGTTTTCAGAGGTGTGTCATCAGAATAATACAGAAAAGTCCATTATCAGCTATTAAAAAAACTAAAACAGGGGTCAGTCAGGTTAGTCACTTATAGAAGGAGGGTGCATTAAACACAAAGACACTTTTATTAAGACATTTACTGGTATTAGTTCATGATAAACACCCACTAAGAGGAGTTCCAGGTACTGTAATTGAGGACAAAGGCTTCAAAACAAAGGAGCACTCTGGCCTCACTTATAGACAGGCAGGAATTTAAGATGAATTGCTAGTCTGTCTTCTACGGGTAGATTCTTGCCCCTTTTCCATCTATCTTTCTCAATCTATCTTTCTGTCTTCATTCTTTTTACTCCAATCTTTCTCTATCACAGACACTATCAGCACTGGCAGTGTCATAAATTTTAAAGAGATAAGAGACAAAACAATATGTTTCTTAGTCAGGTTCTGCTGCATGCAATACTGACAGCTAATGCCAGATGTAAAGCCAGATACTGTAACAGTCATGTGGATGGAAGTACTTTAATGTGGTATGCAATTATTGAAACTAAATGATTCAAGATATTATCTGAGTAAAAATCTCCTTTTATGGTTTACAGAGAGGATGCTTTCAAAGAATGGCAAACATTCCAGTTTAGTGTGTTCTCATGTTTATTAGCTTAGTGCAAAACTTAAAACGGTTATCGATGACACACTGAACATTTCAGCAGCTTAACTTTCGTGCATAACCCCTAGACAGATTTAATCTATTTGGACTGAAAGATACAGTTCTAATATTGCAGCGAGCATAAAAAAGTATCTGGAACAGGATGGAAAAAATTGAAAATACTGAAATTACAATTTATCTAAATATGTGTATATACATTTGGTTAAGTTACACTGGCAGTGGACAGCTCTGGCTCATGGGTCCTCAGTTTTCGACTGATAATATTCTTGGCTTTTCCCAGCAGAAAACAACGGATACCACCTTACCATTAAAGGGCAAATGCTTGTTATGCAGCAATTTTACGCCAAGATGTTCAAGAAATTTTAAAGTCAAATATTTGAATACACATGTACTTCAACTGTAATTTTTTTAATGCCAGTACAATAAATTGATTAAAGTTTGTTTCGCAGTCAAACAGCATTGTAAGTACTGGTAAGTATTTGGCTTCCTTGAGGAAACTTGGATATTTTATGTACACTTACTGTTAGGCCACGACATAAATGACAAGTCTGTTGACTAAACACACAGATAAAGGTCTTTTGTAGTACCAGTTAAATATCAGACACACAGCTCTCTGTGAATTCAATCATACATGGAACAAAAAGCAACACAGTAATTGCAGAAGACCCAGCGCTGACCCAGCATCAGTTATATTACAGACATCAAAGAGCTGGAGCAAGATTTTAAGAGATCTTAAGAGAGATGTCAAGAGAAAAGGCAATCTTAGCTCATCAATTTAAGAATGCCCCATCTGATGAAGAGGAGAGTTAGTCATGTGTGAATAAGTCTGGTCTGAAATACAACAGCTGCCTTGTCTGGTGTACTGCTGTCAGACAGACATCTGACCTCAAGTTGACGTAAGGCCACCGGTTGAGGTCATGAGATCATGGCTTCAGATCCTAAAAAACTCACAGCTGAAAAATGGGACATGACAATTTTTTTGAGAAAGCCCTCAAAATCCCATGAATTGCTTTTGGAAGCACTGATGGTGACAGCAAAAATGGATTTCTATCTCTTCTGTCAGCTATGTATGTCTAGGTCAAAGGTCAGAAATCCATGAGAGCAACATACTAGTGTTTGACCAAATCCAGACAACTGGTATGACCTGTTTAATACAATTTGATCAATGCTAACACAGTTTATACCTGTGTAAAAATGGAAATGTTTCTGCCTGTGCTGAAGGAATAGTTCAATATATTGGTAATGATGTTTATTTGCTTCCTAAATGAGATCAGTACCGCTCTGTCTCTTTAATATGGCTATAGTACCAGGTCTTTATGTCTTTATGCTAAACGAGCTAATGGGTACGGGCTCCAGATTTATTTTGAATAGAGAGATCTGTGAGTGGTATTATTCTCATCTAAATCTCTGCATCCATCCATCCATTTTCCTCCACTTATCCGGGACTGGGTCGCGGGGGCAGCAGTCTAAGCAAAGATGCCCAGACTTCCCTCTCTCCAGACACTTCCTCCAGCTCCTCCGGGGGAATGCCGAGGTGTTCCCAGGCCAGCCAAGAGACATAGTCCCTCCAGCGTGTCCTGGGTCTTCCCCGGGGCCTCCTCCCGGTGGGACATGCCCGGAACACCTCCCTAGGAAGGCACCCAGGAGGCATCCGAAACAG